AGACAATGTTATCATCCTCAACAAAAAAATAAATAAATAAAAACTAATGGAAATGGAAAAACTGAACCTGAACTACAATGCAACTGAAGGCTCCAAAATGCACCAACCAACCAACCAACCAACCAATCAATCAATCAATCAATCAATCAATCAATCAATCAATCAATCAGCCAACCAACCAATCAATCAATCAATCAATCAATCAATCCAATCAATCAATGGGAAAACTCAGCATAAACTAAAATGCAACTAAATGCTCCAAAATGCACTAAACAAATAAATAACTTAATAAATAAATGGAAGAACAGAGCATAAACTGAAATGCAACTAAATGCTCCAAAATGCACTAAGTAAATTAATTAATTAATACAAAAAATTAAAATACACATTTGAAAACAATTTAATAATATCAGTCAGTTAATCATATAAGTCTCTCATTCCTAATGAAGTCAAAGGAAAATAAATAGGGCATAAATGGTGCAAAATGCATTGGCAATGCAAGGCATTTTAGCATAGCAAAATCTGAATATAAATCTGACAGAGATCAAGAGAAAGGCATGAATTTGCAAATTATAACATGCCCATGGAATTTATATGCTGGATATGAATAATTCACTCATTCCTAAAGTGGATCATTCATCATGACAGCAGGTCTATTCAGGTCGTATTCAGTGCAAAGTGTCTTCTGAGCAACAGAGGGCAGAAGAGCTCAGGGCTGAATAATACAGGCCTCAATCTTCAAGAACACGTGAAATTTGACTCAGAGTAATTTGAAGCAGATACAAGTGCTTGTGCTTCTGAATTATGCTCTTATATTATTCGCAATGCTGCAATGAAAGTACAATGAGTTCATGAAATGATACACATTCAGAAAATATTTTTTAGATGCAAAATGTCAGAGCATGACATTTTAATACTTTAATAGTTAAATGCTAGAGGTTTAATCACATCACTAACACTAATATGAGCAATAATAGTAATGACTGTTAATAATAAGAGGAGCTCTGATGGCTCTCAGCCTGAAGAACAGATTGTTGCCTTCATTCACTCTGCTGACATTATCAAACTGATAAGTGAAATCTCAGAGATACAGCGGCACCACAACATCTGTGCATGCATTTTGAAATCACAAGCTGTTTTTCAGCGAGTCAGACACGTATATAATGAATAAGCAGGAATTAAATGTTTTTTTGCCATATCAGTTTGTGTATTTAGAGGTGCGGGTGGAGTCTGTCCTGCCTGTGGTGCCAAGCTGTCCAGAAAGAGAGACAGCGAGTGCTTTACCTCCCTGTTCCAGCCAGGATCAGGTTTGATAACGTCAGAATTCAGACTTTATTTTTGACTGACATGCATAAACAAGCCGCCCTCTCTTCCACGTCAATACCCACAGTTCTGCTTCCTGACGCATAAAGAGTCTGTCACGTTTATTCCTGTTCCTGCATCCCACTGTACGTTTACTCTGGTGGCAAATACATCTTTCCTCTCTTGCAATTCCCTGAATTGTTTTCACAAAAGTAAAATCTGACATTTATTAATAGTAGAATTGGTTTGCAAACAGTCTGAACTGTTTTGTGAATTGAAAAAAAAAAGTTCTACTTGATTCTTTTCAATGAATTAGTCAAATTAGACTGCAAAGCACTCTGCTTGTTTTGTGACTCGCAAAAGATTCATTCATTCTAGTCGATTCCTTTCTATGAATTGGTCAATTCATTTCACAAAGTGAATGGGTGTTTTGTGAATCGCTAAATAATCATTCTTTCTAATCTTCTCTTTTTAATGAATCGATCAAATCGATTTGCAAAACAGCCGATTGCGAATAGTTTCACAATTTTACACTTATTCATTGTATAATCGATTAGCAAAGTGGTCTGAATTAATCGTTTTGTGAATTCCAAAAGAATTGTTCATTCGTTGATTCTTTTCAACGAGTCGGTTTGAACGGTTGTTTTGTGATTTGCCAAAGAATTGTTCATTCTAGTTGATTATTTTTAATGAATCGTCAAATCAGTTCACAAAATGATCTGAAAAAAAAATAGTTTGGTGAATCTTTCGGTTCACAAAGCACTCTGAAAATTTATTTTGTGAATTATCATGCTAGTAGATTATTTTCAGTGTATTGTTAAAATTAGATTGCAAAGTGGTCTCAACATTTTTTGTGAATCACAAAAGAATTATTTTTAATTCATACTATCACGTCACACAACTGTGTCTAACGGACGCTCGGTCGCATAGATACATGCACCCTGTCACTGTAAACTGGCCTGTCAATCATCTTGTCACAGTTAACATCCTCCACACTGCATTTAATTTAACTTCCTACCCTATTGAAGAGAAAAGAAGTAGCACATTGATCTGCCAGTTGTGGGTCTTTAATGCGGAGAACTCTGCTCATATTTTCTGCATATGCATTTAAACGTTCACGACCAAATGGATGTTTATAAAAGTTCACATTACTGTTGCAGATGAAATATAACACGGATAACAATACATAAATATTTTTTACCAGGTTAAATGTTGATTATTAGTAACTCAAACCCCTTTTTGTAAACCTCTCTACCTATTACCGTCGATCGTGCGCATCCGCCATGTTTGTAGCTTTTCTAATGCGTTTTATTCGTGTTTGTAGTTCTGGACCGAATCCTTCGCCAAAGTGCAATGGATTGTGGGCAATTTTAGCCATTAGAGTGTGCACAGATCTACACTTCAAAAGTCGACCTCAAATAGTAGACCATCCGGGGACTTTTGGCATACTCTTTTCAACATACTATGCTTTGGGACACACTTATTCTAATCTCACATACTATTTAGGATGGATAGTATGAACATTGAGACGCAGGGTCAGTCAGTTATTTTTGATGAATCAGTCAAATTGCAAAGCAATTTGTGCAAAGTCTGAACAAATCGTTTTGTGAATCGCAAAAGAACCATTCATTCTAGTCGATTCTTCTTGATGACCCTGTCAAATTGGTTCGCAAAGTGGTCTGAACGAATCATTTTGCAATTTTACAAATATTAATTTGCATAAAATAAGTATAATATGAAATGATATGGTAGAATATGTGCAATAATCATTGGCTGTGCACAGAAAGGCCAGCTGGGGTCAGAACTTAAACTGAACACTGCATTGCAACATCTGACTAGCAATGCATGTGGCGCCGGTACACGCTGTGGCTTGACGTTTTTTTCTCCCTAGAGTACAACGCGTGAGGAATGTTGACACGAATCATGTGGAAGAGTCTTGAAACCCTTAGAAAGCATTTTATTTCCCTGAAGTTAATCAGCTGAGGTCAAAAACAGACTTTCTCAATGCCTTTGGCAGCAGTTTGCAGTTGCAGGAGGACATTTGGTAATTGGTACGATAAACCAAGAAGACTCATATCAGGGGTTTGCCAGACTGAAATTTTGTAGCTTAATCCAATTTCACACTCATTAAGAGCCAATAAACTATCATTTGGAAGCTTCGTTGGAAGAAAAAGCACAAACACATCTACAGTTTGCTTGTAAAGTTCTGAGCTGCATTTCCCAAAAGCATTGTAAGCCTAAGTTGATCGTAGCTCCATTGGTTTCAATGGGTCTACGATGTACTTAAGCTTTTGGGAAACGCAGCCCTGTTCAGTTTACAAAAGCATGAACTGGCAGAGATTTCCAAATGAACTTCATGTTGTGTGAACTCAAATATTAAAAAGAGCTGTGTGAGTGTTTTTCCTGTGCTGAGAGACTGGCATGGCTATAGGAGAGAAGCAGAGAGCAGTGTTTGCAGATGTTTGTGTGTGAGTGTGTGTGTGTGTGTACTGCTCTGAGCATATTTATTCTGAACTGTGGAGATGGGTCCATTAGACATGGGCAGTGAGACTTATTCGATTATGAGAGAGAGGGACTAAACTTCATACCCTGAATGTTCACACAAAATATATGTGTTTTTGTGACTGAACAGGGTAAAATATATACTGATTGTCTTAAAGGGGCCATGACATGGATTTTTTGTTATATGTCTCTTGAGGTTTACTTGTAATGTTAATAAAGATTTTTGCAAAAAAAACTAATAAATATGTGGAAAAATGATTATTAGTTTTAAGGGGTGGATCCTTTAAAGGGGACATCAGATGCAAAATTCACTTTTACATGGTGTTTGAACATAAATGTGTGTTGGCAGTGTGTGTACACAACCAACCTATAATGATAAAAATCCACCCAGTGCTTTTTTTTTTAAATTCCCCACAAATAATAGCCAGTCTCATATCTAGCCTTTCACAGATTCTTGGCAGTGTGACATCACACAGGCAGGCCCCTCCAACGACTGTAGACGAACACTGGCGTTTCAGCATTGACCCGCTCTGAGTGAACTGTAAACTGTAAGGCCCCCTCCCCCACGGCTTGGAAGAGAGGGGCGGGGTGAGCAGAACTCATTAGCATTTAAAGGCACATGCACTAAAATGGCTTGCTGTTTGCAGAGCTGTTTTTGGTAAAAGGGGTCTTGTTTTACAATACCATTGAGAAATTTTAACCAAAGTATGTTATAGACTTTTCATGAAGACCCTAAAGAATCATAACAGCTTGTGGAAAATGGACATCTGATGTCCCCTTTAAGGCTTGTCAGGAATTGGTCATTGTTATGATTGACTTGCTATTGCATGCAGGTGTTTTGACAACATGATTAAAAAAAAAAGGTAATTTCCAGACAAAGCATTATAAAATAATTTACTTACGGTTTATGATGCAGCTTCTCTATGACTTAGAGTATAAGCTGTTTTCCTCATGGGAACCAAATAAATGTCCCCACAAGATGAAAGTTTACTGTTATTACTATACCTGTGGGGACATTTGGACCACATAATGCAGGGAATACCAGAACACACACACAACACACACACACAGCACGTAGACACGAACACACACCACAGAGACACACAAACATTGTAATGGCAAAGTCAAGATCATTTATTACAGTTTCTACCTAATCAACAAAGCTGAGTTCTAACACTCTTTTTTTTCTTCCTTCCTTTATGTCCTTTCCCCACCTCCCGTTCTTTTTACTGAGGTATATCTGCCTTCTTTCAGGGAGTGCATCACAACGAGCCCTGTAGCGTCGCTGCTTTTCTTCAGCAGACAACAGCGCCATTTCCTGACAATTACATGCATACTGTTTAAGCAACTCTTTCTTTTAAATGCATAATAAATTAATTATAAGTACCAATATATGCTTTAAACACTTATGTAATTTTTACATCAAATGTTACAACATGTCCACCCTGTTACAGTGCAAAACAGTAACAGGGTGGACAGTAACAGGAGGGATATTTTATGCTAAAGTCAGCTATTGCTACTCATGTGATAAACAACAAGCTAGTGCGTAGTGATCACCGAGGAAGATTTTTAACCTGCTTATTAACCATATTTTCAAAATTACAAAAAATGATCAATTTCCATTTGAAATAAGCATAACAGAGTGGATATGTTATGCTTTACCACATCAGTGAATCATTATAAAACACTGAAAAAAGGGTGAAATAAAGATTGTTAATTACTCTGCTTCTTGTAGATAGTTTGCCACCAAAAAGTGTTATACTTCCTGAGAATCGTGTTATTAGAGTAACATTCAAGGGCCGTGTTCTGAGGGACTTTTCATCAGCGTAACTGAGTAACTGGTTGTGTCAATTCAGGGACACAACATCTTTTAAAGACTTTAAGCATTAAAAATGTATAAATAACAAAAAATATATTTTGTTGAGAAATATTATAAATAAGAATATACAACAATATTGAAAAAATTGGAATTTGTTTGATTTTTATTACTTATACTTGTGGCTGAAGTTATGCAAGCTTACTTGGGGGCATGACATTTTAGTCTACTTGCACTAAAATAAGAGTAATTATTTTTAATTAATTACTTTTTAAGCACATATTTATTGAGTTTGATTGTAGAGGGGCAGCAACTTTGTAAGATTAGCATTCAGCAACAAGTATTAACCCATTTTTACGCAAAATATACCACATTATGTCATGGGGACTTAAATGGCACTGAATACTAGGAATGACCCACTCAATAAATTAACTAAACTGGACTGTAATGTGTGGGGTTAAGCCGGGCTCACATTACAGGATTGAAAGACTAGCCGAATCACTGTGTTGCTCACACTACGCAACAAGATTTGTTGTCATCTGTCGTTGTCTTGTCATAGCTGCGCGCATACTACACAACACAATGCTAACCAGGTGCACACATTACAAAACATTCAGTGAAGAGGCATTCCCGATCATCAGCGAAAATACGTTTTCTCACATAAATTCTCGCGAGAAATTATAGCGATTATAGGCCATATCTTCAAGCATGGACGATCAACTGGCCCTTCAATTGGTCTGTGCAGTTATTTTATCCGAAAGGAAGAAGAAACCACGACAAAATAGAATATGGCAAAAACAATGGCTTGGAAGAACGTGGACAACAAGGACTGTCAGTACTGCAGTAAGAGTTGGAGGTAATCAAACAGTGCAATCAAACGTGGTATTATATACACAATCTATGCATTTGTTAAATTTATTTCTAGTTAGTTGATTTGATTAATTTGTGGCTTTTTGTGTCTGTTCATAAAGATGCATGATAAGAGTGTTTATACCATCTGCACTGTGATTGGCTAGATTAGTTCCACCTTGTCATTGTGTCGCTCACATTACGAGATCGCATGGCGATAATATCAAACAGGTTTGAAAATATCGTAGCGTCTGTGATAGCTCGAGACAGGTTCGGATCACGTTGCTGACCTGCTCATACTTAACGAGCTTCGGCGACCACAACGAGCACCGATTTGGTCACTATCCGGGGTTTTGTTGCAAACTGTGGAAATCTGTCCGCGACCGCGAAATCCAGCCAAATATCCTGTAGTGTGAGCCCGGCTTTAGTTATGTTAGATTGGAGAAAAAATCAATGGGAAGAGACTTTTCACGTAAGCCTAACCTGTGCTACTGGATAATAATTATGAGCAATAGTGATTTTTGTCTCAACAAACTCCACAAAAATGTAAATGAGTGTAGGCCTATGTTTCTTTGTGCTCATGTGTGAATGCAAACCTGCAATGTCACTCAGTCTGCGAGGTGTCTGGGAACTCTTTCCTTCCTGAGGGCTGCAGTGTTTGTGTTAGATCAGCCGAAAGCCCTTCTTCTGGGTGTGGGAAACGACTCCTCCCTGGACTCCACATTTCCTCTAGTCAAGGACTGAGCAGCCGAAGCCCAGACCGATCTGAGCTGCTGCATTTCACCTACATTCAACACGCATGTCAGAATGTGTACATGCACAGGTTGGTTTCATTGACAAATACATAACCACATGTTCACAAATAATATTTAATATAGACAGAAGATTTTGGAGGTAAGCCCTAAGTTATAGTTTACCAAGTTGACATCTGAAATACTGTTTGATTGAGACTAAGTCTGACTGAGATTAAGTCTGTATCAGTTTATATTCTAATCTAATCAAATATGCAGTACATATAAATGAGTTGTCATCCAGTAATTAATTGTGGATACCAGCTCAGATCATTTGAAAATAGCCTAAGTGTTTTGATTGTAGACCTCTTCTGAAACTCTAGGGGAGACACATGAGATTACTTTTTCTCAGGGGAAACAACTGTAGACTTCATCTAAACAGCTAGAAATGACTTCATTTTATCTCACTGCTGTCTAGAAACAACTTGAGATAGCCTATTTTTACTATGGGTTGTAGTTTATATAATATAAATGAAATCAGCAGTTCTCTCATAAAAGTATTGCATTGGCTCAAGGAGCTTTGCTGTCACTTGCAAAACATTTGCAAAGGAAAGCAGAGTTTCTTGGGGCAACGCAATACTTGTGCAAGAGAACGCAGATGTTTTGCAAGTGAAAGCAAAGCTTCTTGGGCCAATGCAATACTTTTGTGAGAGAATGCAAATGTTATATGCGTATAAGAATGTACAGCTTCTTGAGGCAATACTTTTTCGAGAAAATGCTAAGTTTATGGGAGAATGTTTTGCGAGTGAACGCAGTTTGTTTGGGGCAATGCAATTTTGCAAGAGGATACAAAGTTTCTCAGGGTTACATGTTTTGTGAGCAAACGCGGGTTTCGTGGGGCAAAGCAATACTTTTGCGATAGAATACAAACGTTTTGCAAGGGAACGCAAACTTTTTTGGGGCAATGCAATACTTTTGTGAGAGAACGCAAAAATGTTGTGAACGAAAAGCTTATTGGGGCAATGTAATACTTTTGCGAGAGAGCACAAAGTTTCTTGGGGTAACAAATGTTTTGCAAGCGAACACAAAGGCAACACAATACTTTTGCAAGAAAACTCATATGTTTTGCAAGAGAACGAAAAAGTTTTGCGAGGGAACGTGAAAATATTGAAATATAAATATAATTTTTTTTCATCCCATCTCATATGTTTTTCACCATACCCAGATAGCAACAGAGTGTGGGCCGAGTCGGGTTTACATTCGGCACTTCTGGCTTAATTCTGGCACTGTTTTTGGCGCTGGTGTGAAACGGCATTTGGCTGAGCTCTGGCTGGAGTCTGGCCAACCAAAAGAAACTAAAAGCAAATTGTATCTATTTGGCTGAGCCGTGGCTGGAGTTTGATCCGCCAGAAAAAAATAAAATATTCGGCTGAGATCTGGGTGGGTTTTGGTTAGCCAAAGAGTAAATAAAAGATCTCTGGCATGAATGTGATTTACAGTAAAACAGACTTGTGTAAGATGTGTCTTCCTAATTTTATGAATCCATTACGATATTTATTCAAAGAGCACACACTTTTGGATATTATAGTTAATTAAAGAAACATTTATGTACTGAAATCGACTGAGAAATAAAACATGATTGTGTTTTTATAAAAAAACAAAAAAACAAACGCAGCTCCCCAGTACTGGGCTGCGTTACAGTTAAATTTTTTATGCCCTTCACTCGCTAACTTCCCTCTGTCTCATTTACTTGGATGTACGTCATAGATTACGTTGCATGAGTGCCCACTACTGGCGGAACCCTTGGAATGGGCTGAACTGGAACGTCCTAAGCCCTTGATCACTTATGGCGCTTTTCCACTGCGTGGTACGACTCCGCTCGTCACGGCTCAGTACGGTTAATACATCAAGATAAGTTAATTCTTCTTTTAAAATCTCAACTAACATGTAGGTTTCACTCATTCTTCTACAGTGCGTTACTTCATTGGCTTTTTTGTTCGTGTTTAACTCTTTTCTGTCATTGGATTTCATTTGTTTTTAAGTTAAATGTACTACAATTATTCTCAGTCCCCATTTACAGTGCATAATGGAAAACATGTGGTCTTACAGTGAGTGAAGTAATGTGAAAAGGGGCTGTTAAAAGAGTCCATAAGATGTTTGAATCTGCCTTCTCTAAAGATGAAACAAGCGCCTACTGGATGAATGAGACTCTGATGAGGAGGCCCCTAAAAAAATTTGCCACAAGCGTCTCAAATACAACCACGATCCAAAAGGATTTGTTCAGCTTCTAACCAAGTCCTCTAGGACAAAGACAAAACCACCCACTGCAAAACACCCAGACCCCAGATAAAAATCCTCTCAAGCTGTGACTCATTCATAAGATGTAAGATTTCTCTTTGTTTTCTATCATACACTGAACAAAATTATAAACGCAACACTTTTGTTTTTGCCCCCATTTTTCATGAGCTGAACTCAAAGATCTAAGACTTTTTCTATGTACACAAAAGGCCTATTTCTCT